AAGTCCTTTCTGCTTTAAATTGTAAATATAATGAGATACCAACTTTTAGTTTAATTGTTTAAAATTTTAGGTGTTAACTGGCTGCTTTGCTGATGTCAACACCCCCTTTAAAAAAAATTCTCACTTTCTGTTTCTACTGTTCTCTCTGGTACCCCTCTGCCTTCTGGTACCTCTTTGCTGAATTCTGAGAGGACTGGGGTGGGGAACACTCTTTCCTGTAACCCATAACCCATCTATTTTCATCAATCTATTTGAAATTCAAAGCCAGGGGTTGAAATGTCCACTTTCAATTTGAGATGTCTAACTTTCAGATAAATCTATTAACATGCATTTCTAAGTGACTTTTAAACTAAGCATTTTATTTTATTAAGCTTATATATGGATAACTATTATACGTGTATAATAAAGTGTACTTTAAAAAATAATCAGTTCAATTAGAAAATAATATGATATTTTGTGGCAAACTTCCTAGAACTTATACATATACATCTCTTTCTCCCCAGAGTAGTCTCTGTGGGTGCCTAAACAATGCTGCATTATTAGATTTTTTTCAGTTTATAAGCCACACAAGAAAGCTCATGTCGTCTCTCGAGGCAAAAAAATAGACAATGTTCTGAGAAATATCTGTTTATTCCTAGTTCAGTAACACCACGAGATCCTAAATTATGAGTTACTTTTTGTTTATCTTACTGTCTCATTGGCAGCCAGCAACTCCTGTTGCATTTTTTGACATGGGAACCTATAAGGATGTGGTTAATAAAGTACATTTCCATGGTAAGTATTCTTTAACAAAAAATAAACCAAAATTTAATCAGAGATAGAACTTACTGCAAACTGTAGTTTCTACTTTCTGGTGATTTGTATAATTGAGCTTTCAATTTCATAAATTAAAAAGTTCTCTTTTGTGTGACATATTTTTATATCCAATAATTTTACTTAAAAATAAAAACAGAATTTTCTTTACCATCAAATAAAGTTGCTATAATAAGTAGTGATATATTTAGTCCTAGTGAATCAAAGGGAAATAAAGTGTCTTTGATTATGCTGCTCTAAGGAAATATATCTGATTAAACATAAATAAATCATTATTTATGATGTTTGATTTAGTAAAATTATAAGACTACCAAAGAAAACTAGAAGAGCAAAATAACCAAAATTTATATAAAGAATTAAATGTTAATAATTCAAAGGTTTAGAATTTTTTCCACCTTTCAAATACTAAGTTGCTGTTATAGATTTACTACCATTATTATCCAGATTTTCCATTTTACTAAAAAACAATAACACAAGTTATTATGATAAATCAGTACAGATCTTTACGCTCAACACAATCCTGCTACCTTTTAATTTTTTTTATTATACAACAAACCCATATGCATTATAAAGAAATATGAGTTGGAAAAATGAAGAAAAATAGTCTTAGCAACTAGAAATAAGCTGACAAAGGGCAAATATCCAGAATCTACAAAAAAACTAAAACAAATTTACAAGAAAAAAATATCAAAAAGTGGGCGAAGGATATAAACAGGCACTTTTCGAAAGAAGACATTTATGTGGCCAACAAACATATGAAAAAATGCTCATTATCACTGGTCATCAGAGAAATGCAAATCAAAACCACATTGAGATACCATCTCACACTAGTTAGAATGGCGATCATTAAAAAATCTGGAGACAACAGATGCCGGAGAGGATGTGGAGAAATAGGAGCACTTTTACACTGTTGGTGGGAGTGTAAATTAGTTCAACCATTGTGGAAGACAGTGTGGCAATTCCTCAAGGATCTAGAAATAGAAATTCCATTTGACCAGCAATCCCATTACTGGATCTATACCCAAAGGATTATATATCAGTCATTCTGTTATAAAGACACATGCATACGTATGTTCATAGCAGCACTGTTTACAATAGCAAAGACCTGGAACCAACCCAAAGGCACATCAATGATAGAATGGATAAAGAAAATGTGGCACATATACACCATGGAATACTGTGCAGCCATCAAACAGGATGAGTTCATGTCTTTTGCAGGGACATGGATGAATCTGGAAACCATCATTTTCAGCAAACTAACACAGGAACAGAAAACCAAACACCACCTGTTCTCACTCATAAGTGGGTGTTGAACAATGAGATCACATGGACACAGGGAGGGGAACATCACACATTGGGGTCTGTTGGGGTGTGGGGGGCTAGGGGAGGGATAGCAGGGGTGGGGAGATTGGGGAGGGATAACATTAGGATAAATACCTAATGTAGGTAATGGGGGGATGGAGGCAGCAAACCACCATGGCATGTGCATACCTATGTAACAATCCTGCAAGATCTGCACATGTACTCCAGAACTTAAAGTATAATAATAATATAATAAACACCATTAAAATTTCTGTGTGTTAAAAGATAGTATGCTGATGAAACTCTCTTTTTCTTGAAATTTCCCTCTTTTCTTCCCCGGCTTTTCACTTTCTTAATCCTTAACCTTCTAGTGTTGAATTTAATGGACCACCATTATACCCCCTCATCAAGAGGGCATTTTTTTCTGCAGTAGCTGAGCACAATGGTCATATTGAAGAAATTCACTTGTAGAGCTTTGCTTAGAAGTAAAACCCGCTTGGCTCATGCCTGTAATCCCAGCACTTTAGGAAGCTGAGGTGGGCAGATCACCTGAGGTCAGGAGTTCGAGACCAGCCTAGCCAACGTGGTGAAATTCTGTTTCTACTAAAAATACAAAATATTAGCTGGTCATAGTGGTGCACGCCTGTAATCCCAGCTACTGAGGAAGCTGAGGCAGGAGAATCACTTGAACCTTGGAGGCAGATGTTGCAGTAGGCTGAGATCGAGATTGTGCCACGGCACTCCATCCTGGGTGATAGAGTGAGACGCCGTCTCAAAAATAACAGCAACAACAACAAAGTAAAACCCTCTTTGCTGTGATGACTATAAAGCTTGCTGTTGCCTCTCTGTATCATAACACACCGTTTGCAGTCTGATGCTATGCTCAGAGTTGAAAATTCTCACTGACTGTTCCAGGCGTCTGTCTACTCATTCTTGCCATGCTGAAGACTGTCATTTCTCACCACTGAATGCTTTTTTTTTTTTTTTTTTTTTTTTTTTTTTTAAATTTTTTTTTTTTTTTTTTTTTTTTTTTATTCATCGCTTGGCCAGTCATGGATCTAACCAGTAACTTGCAACTGTTTCTTCAACTACCTCTGTCCTGTACTTTCCAGAGATC